CAGGGGAGGGCTGGCGGGCACCGAAGAGTGTTGCCAGGCCGCGAATGATGACGACTTTTCACATCGAGTCACAGCCGCGGTGTTTTCCTTCGCATCTGCATGAAGATCAGTCGGAACTTTGCCAGGTTGGACAAGATGAGGGTGGGGATGATACCCAATCGCAGCGCGCGAGCCTTTCTGATTACATGACAGGTCCGAATTGCAATAGCCCTTTTGCGCCAACATGTTCCACGATGCTCCAACCGCGGGCATGTTGTGAGTGTACTGAGGGGGGCCTGATGTCAACGGCTGATCAGGGGTTGGAGCCAGCTAGCACGAACACCACTTCCATTCATGGTCAAGGGCAGGACAGTGACAATGCCAGTGCCGCCGTTGCTGTTGTGACGCCACCTGTAGACCCAAGTCTAGGTGAGAATGCATTTTCATATAAGGTTGGGTCTACAGGCATTTCACCGCTGCCTCGTGAGGGGAAATTTTCGGGTTTAACCGAGGGTCAGATGCTTGAGCAAGTAAACAGTCACACAGGCCTCCCAGGCTCAGAGCACGCTTCTTGCCCTTTCATTAAGCATGCTGACAAGACGGGAGTGACGGCTGGTAGTATTTTCCAGCATTTCTTCTTGCACATAGGCAGGCTGTTGACCCTTGTTGAACCAACTTGCCAAAACATTCAACCTTGGATTGAGAAAATGCTCCTGCAGGCGGTTGAGGTGATGGACATACCAGCATTGGAAGACACAGAAATTTGGCAGTTTGGATTTTCTGTTTGCGAAGCCTTGAGTGGCAGCACCAGCCACCTCAAGCATGCCAAAGACCTGTGCAAAAGCTTTTGCGAGTATGCAGGGTGTGCAGGTGCTGTGTTAGGCAACACTGAGAGCCACAGTGCAGCAAATCAGCATCCCCTGTGCGTTCGCGACGACCTTGTGGATCAGCACTCTTTGCCCTCCTGCCAGGAGGGCCAAACCTTACCCATTCCATGTCCCATTGACGTGCAAGCTAGTCCGGAATTTTCTGCTTCCCAGCTTGAGGAAATTTTGCTGAGTGGTGAGTTGACCTGCGTTCTTACGTATGTAGCTCGCCACATGCACGCCCATGCTGCGGAAAGGAAGGGTCGATGCCTGAGTAGCGAAGAAGCCACAGTTGCACGCGTGCCGATGTCTGCAAGTGACAAATGCGGGATGCCGGACACGACGCATGTTGGCAACAAGGCGCCGGACCTCCGGTTGGCCTTTGCCAACGTCACAACTTTTGGTACGGAGGCAATGAACTGGGTTTGTAGTAGTGGTTTGCATGCGGTTGGGCTTAGTGAAACACATTTGACTGCCGAAGCCCAAAAATCAAGACATGCCACCATGCAGGCCATGGGCTGGACGTTGATAGGAAAGCCGGCCAGCCCAGGACAGGGCTCGGCCACCAGAGGGGGTACTGCCGTTGCAGTTAGAAAATGCCGAGGAGCATGGAACAAACACCACTTCCAGCTGGATGGCGCAGGTTTCCAGTCTGTTGCCATTAGGTGTAGTGGTGTAGAGGTCTTGATCGTTGTTGTCTATTTGCGGCCTTCTGAAGGCATGCACAGCCGAACCAATGCGGCTGTCCTTGGGGAGCTGCTTGCAATCCTCAGGCAGTGTCCAGGGCCTTGGGTTCTAGGAGGTGATTTCAATTTGACCGAGGAAGAGATCCAAAGCACACAGTTGGTGCAAACCATGAGAGGCAGGCTCCTGCCTCCTGCGGGGCCCACAACAAACCATGGCGCCGCCATTGATCACGTTGTGGTTTCTCGCCACCTTGAGGCCGGTGCTTCTCTGACAAACAGTTGGGAAGTCCCATGGAGGCCCCATTGCGCTCTCCTGCTCACGCTCTCTGGGGCTGGGCGCGGGCCCCATGTTTGGAGGCTGCAGCAATTCCCCAAAATTGTGGCGCAGGTTGATCAGCATCCTTGGCCAGCTGACCACATCCTGCCGAGCATGCAGAAAACAGTCTGCATTATGGGGGAGGCCCCGCAGGAGCATGATGCTGCGACGGCCCTCCTGTGTCGTTGGTCTCAGGTGCTTGAGGTCTACCATGGTCAGACCATTGTGGGCAGAGGTTGGTCAATCAACCCCATTTTCGGTGACATACCCAGTGCCAGGCCAGTCGCTGCCAGCCTTGGTACACATGCAGGTTGGTGGGCTCGTGTGTGTGTCACATTGTGCAACGAGCCTGGAACACAAAGCGTCAGGAGCATGTCGATGAGCTTTGGACATGGTTGCGTGACAGTGCAAGCCGATGGCAGGCTGGACAAGTGAGTTTTGAGAACTACCTTAGCACGGTCAAAAATGTCTTCGAACAACTGCCCAGCACAGGTTTGGATGATGTCTTGCTGCCTCTGCGGCAGCAAGAGACCTTAGCGCAGGCGGCAGCCTCAAAACAGCATGCAGAAAGCTACAAGAAGTGGCTCCACCTGGGTTTGCAGAAAGGCATGAAGCCCTTGTATAAGGCTATGGCCAAAAATGAAGTTGGCCTGGAGCGGCCTTTCAGGGAAGTGGAGCCGTTTCAGAGAGCCACTGCCAGGAGAAACCAGTGGATAGAGATTTGGGGTGATGCTCAGCAGGCGTGGGAAGGCGAGTCCAAACTCATGTTATACGCCCAGCAAGCAGAGCCGTTGCAGCCTATCACTGGCAGGATGATTAAAAAGAGTGCCAGTGCAAAGGCTGATAAAGCGGGGGGGCTCACTGGACTCACCTTCGCTGCTATCAGAAACTTGCCTGACCAGGCGTATGAGCAGATGCTCTCAATGAGGTTGAAGCCTCAGGGAAGATCCCAATACATTGGCGGCACCACCAGGTTTGTTTGATCCCAAAAAACGAGGAGATTGAGCGTCCTATCACTTTGACATGCATCACTTACCGGCTTTGGTGCAGTGTTAGGTATGACATCGTGCAAAAGTGGATCACTGAGGTTGGTGCTAGAGCGGTGTGGGATCGTGCCACTCCGGGTAACACCTGTTTGGAGGTAGGCATTGCCAGATTGGTCAGAGCAGAAACCAGTCGTTGTTGTGGAAAACATCGTGTAGCTGTCCTGTTTGACCTGACCAATTTCTATGACCTCGTCAACTTTGAACTGCTTGAGGAGAGAATCATTGCTTATGGTTTTCCTGCCAGGGTGGCGGCTCTAGTTGTCCAGACGTACAGAGCAGCTAGGCACATCGAAGCTGAGGACATTCTGAGTGAAGTGGTCCATCCGCGCACGGGCATGCTTGCAAGCTGCCCTTTTGCTGTTGCCTTGGCCAAGACGTACCTTTGGCCCATTCTGCAGGAACTTCATGGCATGAAAGGGGTTCAAACCCTTGACAGTTGGGTTGATGATATAGGAGTTGATTTGGAGCATGCCTCAGCAACGGTTGCGGCGCAGGATGCAGTCGCGTGTTTCCGACACGCCAAAACTTTGCTGGAGAGCAGTGGCCTCAGCATTTCCATGAAAAAGACTGGTTTTCTGACCTCCTCTAAGGAGGCCAGGCGTGAGCTTGCTGCGAGTAGACGGCCCAGTGACCCGCAAATTCATGACACAATGCGTGACTTGGGTCTGGACTGCGCCCTTGCCAGGGTTAGGAGAGTGAAGATCCAGCGATCTAGGATGGTCAAAGCTGGTAAGCGTAGCCAGAAGCTTGGTAGGCTCAAAGTTGGGGCTCAGTCCTGCAGGATCCGCCTTTACAAAGGCAGTGTTGTCAGCTCTGCCACGTGGGGACACCAGGCCCAAGGCATGCCACCATCTAGGGTTCATGTCCTCAGAATGGGAGCTGCCTTTCATGTTGGACGCTTGAGACTTGGCACGGCTGACATTGCACTGAGCTTGGCCTCTGACAGAGTGCGTGATCCGAAAGCCGATATCATTTGCCAGCATTTCCAGGTGTGGTTTCAAGTTTTTGCTAGGTGGGTTGGGGATTTGCAGATCCTTGATAGAGCTTGGCAGCAAACTTGGACTAGGCTCGATGTTCAGTACCCTTGGCATATTGTCAAAGGCCCTCTGGCAGCAACCATTGCGCACATGAAAACCCTTGGTTGGACCTCCCCAGCCGTGCACATCTGGAGATGCCCAAACCAAGTTGAAGAATGGAGCCTGCATGTGCCGCAACATCGTGCTAGAATCCTTGATGCAGTGAGGCAGGCTGTGGACGACGAAACCAACCATCGCATCAGCGAGAATGTCCATGACCCTGCCCTCCAACGAGGGATTGACTGGACTGTTGCCAGGAAGTTGCTTAATGGTTGGCATAAGAATAACTTCCATTTGCGGAGAAGGGCCCTTAATACTGTCCTTCAGGGCTCGTTGCCACACTCAGGCAATGGAGGGCAGAGCATCTGTCCCCTGTGCAAGACAGAGAACACATGGAGACATGTTGTTTTCGAGTGCACCTGGTTTAAAGACAGAGGCTGCGACATTCCTCCATGTGTTAGGGCGGGCATCAGCACTGAACAGGATCGTGGTTTCTGGGAGCGTGGCCTTGTTGCCAAGCTGAGAGGCCCTGCTAGTAATCGCAATCCTGAAATCACTGGGGAGTGGTTGCACAAGGACAGGCTCTCTGATGTAGTGCTTGCGACAGACGCCAGTGGAGGACCCCACACTAAGGATCCCAGGATTCGGAAAGTTGCTGTTGCAATTGTTGCCTATAGATGGATCAACCAGTCCTTGCACGAGGTTGCCTCCATTTGCTGTGAGCTGCCTGGCATTCAGACAGTTTTCCGTGGAGAGCTTTTTGCAATGGCCGTGGCTGCGCAAAGAACCTCAGGTCTGTGTGATGTCACTCTTGGTTGCCAGTCAGTTGCTAAGCGCTTCAAAGCGGGGAAAAAGGGCGGCAAGCACGAAGACATTTGGCAAACCATCACTGAAGAGGATGGGTTCAAACGATTGCGGCCCTTTTGGATCCGCTCTCACTTGCAGCCTGAGCAATTTGACAAAAAGTTTGGTTTTGACAACAGATGGCGTTTCAACATCAATCAGACAGCGGACGCTCTGTGTGGCAAGTTTGCGCAGGAACTGGTAGATGCCAGTTTCGTTGCCAAGATTCGCAAACAGGATGCAGTTGCTGAGCAGGTGCTGAGCTTTCTTGCCAGTCGAGTTGAAACCATCTTGACTGCGAGGACTCCGAATCAGCATCCCACCACGATTAAAGGCATTACAGATCGGAAGGTGGCTCAGGCTGGCGGCGCACAGGCCGTGCCTGGTGCTGCCAAACCTTTGCCAGGGGTTCAGCGCACTTGCAAGAAAAAGCTTGGAGCGAACGTTGGTCACGGCCACACTCAAACTAGAGATGAGTGGTTCACCAGCCTGGTGCAGGAGGGTGGAGTCTCTAAGCACCAGTGGGTGTGGCAGGGACCAAATTTGACTTGCAATAGGTGCGGCTGGAAGCTTTTGAGCGCAAAGCCTAGGAAGGTCTTGGTTGAGCGTGAAAACACACCATGCGGTGCCGATGGTCCAGCCAAGTTTGCTGGCGTGCATGCGAGCCACGACATGCAGCTCCAGGGACAGTTGTGGTTGTGTGTTCAGTGTGGCGGTGTTTACTCTGTGCACGGAGTCATTTCGGCCAAACTGAAAAGCTCCTGCTCCACTCGTCGTGACCCGAGAAGCAAAGTGCAAGGTGCTAAGGCTGTTGAACCCAAGCAGTCGCTTACAAGCTTCTTTGGAGGAGCTAGCAAGGCTGAAGACCAGCCGCCTGACTTGGGGCAAGAAGCTCCTGCGCCTGACTAGCCCTTTGGGAAAAGTCCGCGGAAAAAAAAAATTCAGCTAGAAGCTATTTCGTCCGCGAGCATCTCCTTTCTTCCATTCTGTTGAATTGAGTTCATTCCTTTCTTTCAGCTAGGAGCTTGTTTGTCCGTGAGCATTTCCTTTCTCCCAATTGAATTGAGTTCATTGCTTTCTTTCAGCTAGAAATTTAGTCGACCAAGAGCATTCCCTTTCTTCCATTCTATTGAATTGAGTTCATTGCTTTCTTTCCGCTAGAAGCTTGTTCGTCCGTGAGCATTTCCTTTCTTCCTTTCTGTTGAACTGAGTTCGTTGCTTTCTTTCAGCTAGAAACTGGAGCATTTCGTGTTTTCCTTTGTGTTGAATTGAACTCATTGTTTTTTTCAGCTAGAAGCTTGTCCGTCTGCGAGCATTTCTTTTCTTGCATTTTGTTGAATTGACTTCATTGTCTTCGTTCAGCTGGAAGCTTGTTCGTCCGTGGGCAATTCCTTTTTCTAATTTTATTGAGTTGATTTCCTTTATTTCAGATAGAAACTTGTTCATTTCCTTACATTTTGTAGAATTGAATTCATTTCTTTCTTTCAGCTAGAGATTTTTCTGTCCGTGGGCATTTTCTATTTTCCATTCTGTTGAATTGAGTTCATTGTCTTTTTTCAGCTAGAAGCTTATTCGTCCGTGAGCATTTGCTTTCTTGCATTCTGTCGAATTGAAGTCATTGCTTTGCTTCAGTTGCAAGCTTGTTCGTCCGTGAGCATGTTTCTATTCCCTTGAAATGATTCCATAAAATGGTTTCGCATATGATATCATAAAATGCAGAACCCAGTGTCCGTAACAAATCGTACCCCCTTCTTTCAAGGTTTAAGGTCTAATATTTTAGGGTTCAGGGATTTAAGGATTTGGGTTTTGAGGGTTTAAGGTTTAAGGGTTGAGCCAACGAAAAAATAAAGAGTTTTTGATTTGGTTTCTTTTTCCCTAAAAAAATGTTTGCTTCCTTTTTTAAGTTGGGTTTTGACATTTTAGGGGTTGAAGTTCAATTGATTAAGTATTTCAATGGCAATGAACCCTAATCCCTAAACCCTATTGCTTTCTTTCAGCTAGAAGCTTATCCGCCCGTGAGCACATCTTTTCTTCCATTCTGTTGAATTTAAATCATTGCTTTCTATCAGCTAGAAGACTATTCGTCCGTGGGCATGAAGCTTGTTCGTCTGTGAGCATTTCTTTTTTGCATTCTGTTGACTTGAGTTCATTGCTTTCTTTCAGCTAGAAGCTTGTTCGTCCGCGAGCATTTCCTTTCTTGCATTCTGTTGAATTGAGCTCCTTGCTTTCTTTCAGCTAGAAGCTTGCTCTCGTCCGTGAGCATTCCCTTTCTTCCATTCCCTTGATTTGAGTCCATAGCAAATCGAAACCACCCGCCCGCCGCGGTCTTATATTTAACATTATAAGATGCAGATCCCAATGCCCGTAACAAGTCGTACCCCTTGTTTCAGGGCTTAGGGTTTAGTATTTTAGGGTTTAGGGTTTAAGGTTTTACGGCTTAAGGTTTTGCAGGTTTAAGGATTGAGCTAACGCAAATAAACTTAAAGAGTTTTTGATTTGGTTTCTTTTTCATTAGTAGATGTTTCATTCCTTTTTATAAAGTTGAGCTTTGATGATTTAGGGGTTCGAAGCTTAATTGTTTAGGTATTGCAATGGCAATGAACCCTAATCCCTAAACCCTATTGCTTTCTTTCGACTAGAAGCTTATTCACCCTTTTCTTCCATTCTGTTGGATGTGAATCATTGCTTTCTTTCAGCTAGAAGTTTTTCGCCCGTGAGCATTTCCTTGCTTCCATTTTGTTGAATTAAGTTCATTGCTGTTCGTCCGTGAGCATTTCTTTTTTCATTCTGTTGAATTGAGTTCATTGCTTCTTTCAGCTAGAAGCTTGTGCGTCCTGATTCTGTTGAATTGAGCGCATTGCTTTCTTTCAGCTAGAAGCTTGTTCGTCCGTGAGCATTTCTTTGCTTCCATCCTGTTGAATCGAGGTCAGTCCTTTCTTTCAGTTAGAAGTTAGTTCGTCCGTGAGCATTTCTTTTCTTCTTTTCTGTTGAATTGAGTTCATTGTCTTCTTTCAGCTAGAAGTTTGTTCGTCTGTGAGCATTTCCTTTCTTCCATTCTGTTGAATTGAGTTCATTGCTTCTTTCAGCTAGAAGCTTGTTCGTCCGTGAGCATTTTCTTTTCTTCCATTTCCTTGAATTGCGTCCATAACAAATCGAAACCTCCTGCCCGTCGGGGTCTCGTATGTGACGTCATAAGATGCAGAACCGAATGCCCGTAAATCGTACCACCCCTCTCAGGGTTTATGGTTGGGTTTTTTAGGGTTTAGGGTTTTGAGGTTACAGATTTAAGGACTGAGCCAACGCGAAAGGAAAAATATTAACTAGTTTTGTTTTTAGGTTATTTCCTTCCGTGCAAAATTGTTCTTTGCTTTTTTTTAAAGCTGTCCTTTGACGGTATTAATTCATAAATCCTATTGCTTTCTTGCAGCTAGAAGCTTGTTCGTCCGTGAGCATCCTTTTTCTCTCATTTTGTTGAATTGACTTCATTGCTTTCTTTCAGCTAGAAGCTTATTCGCCCCTGAGCTTCTTTTCTTCCATTCTGTTGAATTGAATTCATTGCTTTCTTTCAGCTAGGAACTTGTTCGGCTGCGAGCGTTTGCTTTCTTCCATTCTGTTGAATTGAGTTGATGGCTTTCTTTCAGCTAGAAGCTTATTCGTCCGTGAGCATTTCTTTTCTCCCATTCGATTGAATTGATTTCAGTGCTTTCTTTCAGCTAGAAGCTTGTTCGTCCGTGAGCATTTCCTTTCTTGCATTCTGTTGAATTGAATTCATTCTTTTGTTCAGCTAGAAGCTTGTTCGTCCGTGAGCATTCCCTTTCTTCCATTCCCTTGATTCGAGTTCATAACAGATCGAAACCTCCCGCCTGCCGCGGTCTCGTATTTGACGTCATAAGATGCAGAACCCAATGCCTGTAACAAATCGTACCCCCTGTCTCAGGGTTTGGGGTTTGGCATTTTAGGGTTCAGGGTTTAGGGTTTTAAGGTTTAGGGTTTTGAGGGTTTAGGGTTTAAGGGTTGAGCCAACGCAATTGGAAAATATTATTATAGTCTTTTATTTGGGTTCTTTCTTTACCTAGAAGATTTTTCTTTGCTTTTTTGAAGTTGGGCTTTGACGCTGGAGGGTTAAAGTTTAATTGTTTAGATATTGCAATAGCACTGAACCCTAATCCCTACACCCTATTGCTTTCTTTCAGCTAGAAGCTTATTCGCCCTTGAGCATTTCCTTTCTTTCATTCTATTGAACTGAGTTCATTGCTTCTTTCAGCTAGAAGCTTGTGCGTCCTGATTCTGTTGAATTGAGCTCATTGCTTTCTTTCAGCCAGAATCTATTTCGTTCGTGAGCATTTCTTTTCTTCCGTTCTGTTGAATTGAAATCACTGCTTCTTTCAGCTAGAAGCTTGTTTGTCCGTGAGCATTTCCTTTCTCCCATTCCCTTGAGTTGAGCCCATAACAGATCGAAACCCCCTGCCCGCCGCGGTCTCGTATTTGACATCATAACTTTTTTGGGGGTTCTTTTTTTCCCTAGAGGAATGTATTTTGCTGTTTTTACTTGGGCTAACGCTAGTGTTTTCCTTCAACTAGAAGCTGGTTCGTCCGTGAGCATTTCCTTTCCTCCATCTTGTTGAATTGAGTTCTTTGCTTTCTTTCAGCTGGAAGCTTGTTCGTCCGTGAGAATTTCATTTTTCCATCCTGCTGAATTGACTTCGTTGCTTTCTTTCAGCTAGAAACTTATTTGCCTGAGATCATTTCCTTTCTTCCATTCTGTTGAATTGGGTTCATTGCTTTCTTTCAGCTACACGCTTGTTCGTCCGTGAGCATTTCCTTTCATTCTGTTGAATTGAGTTCATTGCTTTCTTTCCGCTAGAAGCTTGTTCGTCCGTGAGCATTTCTTTTCTTCCGTTCTGTTGAATTGAGTTTATTGCTTGCTTTCAGCTAGAAGCTTATTCGTCCGTGAGCATTTCCTTTCTTCCGTTGTGTTGAGAATTGAATCCATTTTTTCAGCTAGAAGCTTGTTCGTCCGTGAGCATTCCCTTTCTTCCATTCCCTTGAATTGAGCCCATAACAAATCGCATCCCCCTGCCCGTCGCGGTCTCGTATGTGACATCATAAGATGCAGAATCCAATGCCCGTAACAAATCGTATCCCCTCTCTCAGGGTTTAAGGTTCAGCATTTAGGGTTTAAGGTTTTAAGGATTTGGGTTTTGCGGTTTTGAAGATTCAAGATTTAGGGGTTGAGCCAACGCAAAAAAATTAAATAGTTTTGATTTGGTTTCTTTTTCATTAGAATATTTTTTGTTGCCTTTTTTCAAAGTTGGGCTTTGGCGTTTCAGGAGGTTGACGTTTAATTGTTTAGAAATTGCAATAGCACTAAACCCTATTCCCGAATCCCCATTGCTTTCTTTCAGCTAGAAGCTTATCCGCCCGTGAGCACTTCTTTTCTTCCATTCTGTTGAATTGAAATCATTACTTTCTTTCAGCTAGAAGCTTGTTCGTCCGTGGGCATTTCCTTTTTCCATTTTTTTGTCCTGAGTTCATTCTTCTTTTAGCTAGAAGCCTGTTCGTGCGTGAGCATTTCCTTTCTTCCATTTCGATGAATTGAAGTCATTGTTTTCTGTGAGCTAGAAGCTTGTTCGTCCGTGAGCTCGTCCGTGAGCATTTACTTTCTTCCATTCTGTTGAATTGAGTTCATTGCTTTCTTTCAGCTGGAAGCTGTTTCGTCTGGAAGCATTCCCTTTCTTCCGTTCTGCTGAATTGATTTTTTTTCAGCTAGAAGCTTGTTTGTCCGTGAGCATTTCCTTTCTTCCATTCCCTTGAATTAAGTCCAGAACAAATCGAAACCACCTACCCGTCGCGGTCTCGTATGTGACATCATAAGATGCAGAACCCAATGCCAGCAAATCGCTTCCCCT